AACTCCCAGAATTCCCCAGCCACCTGGCTGGGGAATTCTGGGGGTTGAAGTCCACGCATCTTAAAAGTTGCTGAGGTTGAGAAACACTGTCCTAAACTGTCTGTAGAATATAATGAGCAATGAGGAAAAGTACAGTTGCTACAGACCAAGTCAGAGTATCTGTCTATCTAGCTCAGCATTGTCTACTCTGGGCACCAACAGCCGCTTTTCAAAGTCTTATGCAAGGAAGGCTCTTTCTTCCATCCTCTTTGTGACTGCGCATCCTGGGAACAGAGATAGCACCTTTCTGCATGTAAAGCAAGAGCTCTGCCAGTGAGCTATGGCTCCTATCTGCTCACAGTGGTCTGGAACTGAATAAAGGCGCTAAAAACTCCTATGGTGGCTGGTCCTGGGAAGTGTAGACCCAGGTTGAGGCCTGCCCTAATTCTCCAGAGAAGCGTCAGGGCGGCCAGCAGTTAGCTAAAGAGCAAGCCATTTATTGGCCTTTTGGAGTAGCCACAAAGCAGGCATATAGTCATGGAGGTAGGCTATCAGGCTGCCAAGATGCTTGGCCAGATTCAAGCCATCAATCCGCTCTATATGTTCACAGAAGAGTACTGCAGAAGATGGTAAAATTCTGAGAAGGGGCAGGTAGGGGATACAATTTGGAAGGTTCTCTTATTTATATAAAAAATCTGGCATGCTAGTATCATAGTAGCTATTTAGGGATGCTCTAGTCCAATCTGCTTCTCATTATGGGGAGAGTTTATCTATAGAACTAGCCTGATTTCTCACCTGCAGCCTGAAAGGATCCCGTCCACTCTATCCTTTGGGTCTGTTGCATGGATAGGCCTGGCTGAGGGGCAAGACACGGGTGGACACCGCTCTATTAAACCACTGGAGGGATCTCTCCCATGAAATAGCCACTTATTGGAAAGTTCTTACTTCCATATCGAGCCAGACAGGCAGAACGCTCCCAAGCAGCAACTTTATTCTTTTTCAGGGGAATGTTGTATTTATGGCTGCTTTTGGTTAACCACAAGTCTGTCATTCAAAATGTTAAGGCATTCTTGAGTACCAATCAGGCATGCAGGTAAAGTTGCTGGAAGGGTCCTTAATTCAAAGAGGACTTTTAAAAGATGTTTCACCGTTAAGGAAAGTAAATGAATATCAGAAGTGATTACATACAGTTACCTAATAAAGCTCTTAAAAGCAGCAGATTGTGGATTGATGCACAAAGGTACTCTGTTTCCTTTCTGCTGTTCCAAAATGAACTGATGGATTATTTCTGGGGAAAAAAAAAAGTAGGAGAAAAAAGTAAATCTGAATTCATGCTTTCTGATACAAATTGCACAAAACAGGACATTGTTTACTGGTGGACGCTGGGTTTGTGGGGAGGACACATTTTATAGATTTTATATTCAAGTTTTTGCAAATCACTGGGGAGTCCGTGTGGAGTGCGGTATAGAAAATGCTGGGAGTAAATTAATACCGATGTACATACTACGTATTTAGGACACCTGCCTGCTGTTAATCTGGTCACATTCTAAAACATACCAATTCCTTCAATGGATCAGTTTATTGCAATAAAATGCAAAAAGTCCAGTTCACTTCAGACTGAATTTTCCACAAGGATTGCACAAACTGACCCTGTAATCAGTTATGCAAAAGAGCCTGGAAATAGAGCTGCAGAGAGACGGTTTGGACCTCCTCCCACCAAGTGTATCAGGT